GTCGTGGCGTGAAGGGTCAGAGGAAGAGGAGCGCCGGTGAGGAACCATTGCAGGGAGCGATGGCGATGCGCATCCACGACGTCAAGGTAAAGCGGGTGAATACCGTCGTGTGTGGCCTCAGTGAGAATCTGAGCCCATTCTGTCTGTGGTACGGAGTACTCAGGAATCAAATGTACTCTGAACAGCGACGTGGAGTCTTATTCCGATGACAGTTGACACATATGTACGGAGTAGGCTAAGTGGATGTAAGCAAGGATCCAAGAATTTCCTTTTGTGGTTAGTTCTCTGCTTTCGGTATGGTCGCTGATAAGGGACTCCGCCCTCGGTTTGTTGTGCTTTTATAGAGTACGAGTATGTGCAACGGAAATATGTTCAAGGTCAAAACTACAAGCACTCGATATCCATCTCGGACTGATGTTTCCCTAGAGTTATGTTTTCGATAGATACAGAAAGTAAGCGATATGGAGAGGATCAGGGTAGGAAGATACCGCGCCAATCTTCGTCTTCTGGCTCTAGCATCATGCCGCTGGATTCGCCAGCGAAAAGCAGGCTCCCTGGCATATAAGGAGACACTTGATAGGATGAACAAAAGGTATATTTTTGGACGCTTGGAAAGACAGCTTAACCGCATGCTGAGTTTAAACACCATAATCTACGCGTATAGGCATTCAAACGTGCAGGTAAAGGAGTCATTTAATCTACTGGCCTATATCGAATGTAGAATGGTCAATTTCTCACATGATCAGTTGAACTGCCTATTTGGACGTCTGCTAGGACTTCACGCAAGATTCAGAATTAAATAAGAAATGTGGTGAATTGTTATAGTGAATGCCATTATGTCTAGGCTGGTGTTATCTATTTTGTGCTCAAGATACCTCCACCATGGTCCTAAAGTAAAGCAGCGTCAATCCATGATATGTTCCCGAAGAAGGTATCGAACAAGAAAAATAGATCTATTAAGATCCAGAGGGTATCTACAGCGACCTGAAGCCGCCCGTCATGAAGTGCAAAGTCCGCTGATCCAGTCATCAATCAATCACAGAAGAAACCTGCTCTTCTGGAAGTCGTAACATAACATAAACCTAGCTGCTTCACAAGTAAATCGTTTTGTACAGGTCTCGAGCTCAACAATCAGGCGTAGTCTGGTCGATAGGGCCGCATTTGAGGATTGTAGCCTTGCGGTGTGTAGGCTCGTACAGGTGGTGCTCGGTTGCTAGGCTCGTTGGGCGAGGTAGCACTGCCCGGTCCGCCATAAGCATGATAAACAGGAGAATTTGATGGTCGAATGCCGGCGTTTGGATGACTCGGGGTCATCGAGGACGGATCGAATGCAACGTAGCCGCCTTGCTGCTGTGGGCTCTGCTGCTGCGGCCGAGGTGTAGCTCTCTGAGAAACTGGAGTATATGTTCTTTCGGCAAAATTTGCAGCTGTATCAATGGCCAGCGGTGGTCGAGCCGACGCGGCGTTGCCTGGAGTGTATGCTCGTACGGGATAGCTAGGTTGTGGGTTTGGTGGTGGTTGGGGTGTTCCCCTGTGATTTTGAGGAGACAACGTCCGAGTTGGATAGTCCTCGCCAGGCGAGACAGCAACTCCACGCGTCAAAGAGCGTGAGTAAGGATCAGGGACTGCATTATACGACTGATACGCGCCATAGTTCCCATCGTAAGGTGCATCGGTACTGTAGGGATCGGGATAACGGCGTGGCGCTTCCTCATAGTCGCCCTGGTTCATCGTCGTCGGCATACGGCTTGGTGCGTTGGTCGCGGACGGCGGCGCCGGTGTACGCGTAGGCCGCGTTGTTGGCGGTCGCGATACGGGCGTGTAAGAACGTGCTCCGGGCGTCGGCACGCTGCTGGGGACAGGAGGAACAGGCGGCGCAGGTGAAGACCCGCGATCAAGAGGGCTGTAGCCGGAAACCGCAGTAGCCCCAGAGTACGATGTTAATTCCGAATGCGCCGATGATTGAGTCACCGTTCGGCTTAAGGCCGGCTTCTCCGTCCATGAGACGTCGGGGAGGGTAGGAAGAGTTGGGTTCCGCTCCAGTGCCGCGGTTCCTGGGCGCGAATTATACGGCGGGAGCGTGGTATGAGTCGTAGAACGCGAGAGCGTTGTGACGGTGGGTGTCTTGTCCTCCGCATTCAGGTCAACCACCATCGGTAGGGTCGGTTTCCGGTCCAGGGCAAGGTCGGGTTGAGTCGGCGCGCGATTCAAGGTGCTCTTGGCCAAAGCCTTGTCCACCTTTCGGCGAACGACGCGCATGAGCCGGGTGTTGATTTTGCGACGGCAATACACCTTTAGAGAACCATCCTCGGAGGGGATATGGTGGAACAGGAAGATGAGGTAGAGGATCACGGCAAATGCCAGTTTGAGGATCGACAGCACCCAGATCACGAGTGTGAAGAGCATACCACACAAGACCACCGCTCTCTGGTTGTTGTCATCGGCTAGGATCTTGACATTCTCGAAAAACTGTACAATGCCTGCCTTGTCGTCGTCCACCGAGTGTTCACCTCCGGGAAGAAGGTCCATTTTCATGACGGAGTACAAAGTGATGGCGTTGACAACTTGGCGGGGACCATCTGCGAATATTGTATTCATCCAACCTAGAATGGCACGTCAGTTGATAGGCCAAGTAATAGACAAAGCAGGATGGCTTACTCTCGAAAGAAAAGTACGCGAACAAAGCCACATACTCTGCGCCCTTCTTACTCTTCGTTAACTCCGCAAAGACTAAAAAGCGTCTCCAGCCGCGACCACGTCTCCCCATGCGGATACTCTGGATTCGCGCAGCCAGAGGGTCCAAGTAACTTCGCGCAATGCTCCCCGAGCGCATGGCGCGAATCGCATGAAGCCACCGAAGAAACAACAGGACGAAAGAGATGATAATGCAAACTGCAAAGATCCATCGCGACACTGTAAAAGGAATAGCGGGTTCAATTGAACCGGCCCATCGAGAGAACGCCAGCAGATTGACCGCCGTGAATGTGTCGACGCCATACACCGCGACGGATACCAAAAGAAAGACATATACCAGAAAGTAAGAGAAGGGCGTTAGACACGATTCGGACTTGAAGTCGTCCAGATTCTGCAAGCAAAGAATTAGCGACACCCTTGAAATTGTCTTGAACGCGACCGTGTTTCACACTTACCACCGAGTCCCATTTCTCCTCCCTTGACACGGGACCCTTTTCCCGCTCACCGCAGCAAGGCATTTTTGTGGGTATACCTGTCCTGAGAGAAATAGATACCTAACGGCGGAGACGAAAACGAGTCAAAGACGACAAGTTCACAACGAATGGTGAGTTACACCTAACGACGTCGAGGTGTCACTGAATCGACCTGCTCGGGCCAGCCGCGCACAGTCGCAATCACACAACAGCGATTACAGGAATGAGAGACGAAGAACAATATGTTCGAAAGATTTGTTTGGAACTCCGAGCGAAAGCTCAGGACAAAGAGCGACAGAGTTCGAGATGATCGATTTCGATCGGCGGCTACGAGATCCCTCGGCGCATGGCCCTTCGGACGGTCGCAAAGCGCTCGTCAAAGGACCTGTTTCAGGGGCGAGGGGTCAACAACAGCAGCGGATCAATCGCACAATGGCCATTCACCATTGATTTCGAATTCGATGCACGATGCAGATGAGACGCAAAGGAGTGACTGAAGGTATTCTACTTCGTATGAGTGGAAGTAATCGCGATGGATCCCTTGCCAAGATAGGGGTCAGGGCGCGTGTCTGTGTTCTGTGTCAATGTGCGGATTGTGGGGATATACACGAGGTTGGAACTTGGAAGGAATGGACGCTGACGATTGACAACTGACGAAGCTGAGAAGACGATGATGATGCAATAAGGAATGGAGGGGTTCAGCAGATGAAGTAGCTGAAACGGACAAAGAATGAATGGATTGATGGATGAAGAATAATGAAGTTGAGGACGAAAGAACCGTTATTGATGGCCAAACCGTATTTTCCCTTAGTGCCTCTGTCTATTTCGTCCCCTCGTTTTTCTCAAATCATCCCCCAATAAACTAACAAATCAGCTAGTGGAAACAAACTCCTTTTCAAGCTGAAACAATTCGGGCGCTAGACTGTCCTGGCCCATGGAGGAGCAGTTCTCTCCACAGAGAGTATGTACATCCTTGTTGAGAAGAATGCATCCTAGGTATCTGTCTATTGATCTGCCTCAACACAAACAACTGGACATGAATCTGGGCATCACCATACTAGCATACTACAAATAGTGCTTATCAGGCGACAGTCAAGGTCACCAGCAAGTACTGAGTAACCACTGCAAAGACAAGCTATACCCCGTATCCAATAGATAGACGATGTCGACGTCTCCACAAAAAGCACCATAATCAACATAGCCTTGGATAAGGAACGCCCGCTGCTTGGCATTCTAGCCTTTAACCTTTTTACCTGCTGGAATGGAACAGAGCTTGATAACAATGTCTGTGCTAGCTAGTAGTTAAGAGATTAGATATCCATAGATACTCAGTATACCCAGTCTGTGTGTTTCATATGATCACAAACACAAATACCTACTACTGAAAAATGAAATAGATAGGTATAGACCCTTTTCATTAAGCGACAAGTCGATCCACCATACTCCGTCCGTAGTATGGAGAATGTGGACTCGAGTGGGGGAGGATGAAACAGCGCGGGTTTACAAGACGGGTTTACAGGGCGAGTGGAGGAGCGTGTGGCACCTCATGAAGATTATGAACATGAATATCAAAAGGACAAGCCACAGCCAGTGAAATTACAAATGCTGTGCTATAGGGCTGGAGATGATCTTCCGAGCCGATCTTTATCAGCCAAGATGATCAACAACTGCAAATCACAGTACGAACTGGGAAAGTCTACAGCATCACGTCTACGATGAGGTCAAATCATACTCCTTCAATCCTCACTCAGCTGCAACTGAGCGGCTCATTCATTTGTCCATGTAAAAAGAACAACGCCAGAACGCAATAGACAGAAAAACGGACGCTCGAAATCAATCGTCTGATCCCTGGCCAACGACTATCTCGCGCAACTCCAGTCCGGTCTCCTCACCGTTGCAGAAGGTGACCCTCCCCCACTGACACCAGGTAAGCCGACAGACTGTTGTCAGGGGTTGGTTGGAGGAAACCACCAGCTCACAACGGCGGAGACAAGTCGGACTAGTTGACAGTCGACAATCGGCTGCTTGACCCGAACCTGCACGATGGTGCCGTGCCCCTGACGAGAGCGAACGCTAACAAGCTGCATAACGAGCGAACTGGCAGTGACAACCACGGCAAGGACCGATGAGGCGAGTCTCTTCGCGACGGCCGAGGTCCAGGGAGCGAGATCCTCCCAAAACAAAGCCATGACCCCCAGGAGAGTGACGGCACAAAGGAAAGCACGGCGCCGGTCGTCAAGTCCGCGTAAACGAACTGATGGAGCCAGGCCTCTGCCCTTGTGACTGGGGCGGTTTCGTCGTAGGCTTTTCAATTGTTAAATTTATACTCCGTACTCTATTGAGTACTAGACTAGAATCATGTTCAAAAGCCGGACTTCATTGGGCCAATCGCCGTTCGGTATGATTTAGTCATTGTATAAGGGTGATTCACTGTTGACCTGTCAACCACCTCCCACTTGATACCTAATTCCGACACACAACACGCCTCAACGACAACTGAAATATCTAGCTTGATATTCCTCTGTGTACTTTATCCATATTGGTAGAGTCGCCATGCTAGTGCTAGTGTTGTTTGACTAGGCTTCGGTGTGCTACTAAGGAGACAGAGGGGCTTATAACCTTCTGGGCTTCCCGTACTAGAAAACCGGCCACGTGAGACTATATACCTAGGTGAAAAGCCATGGCTATACAGCATGTGAAAAATGCGCTAGCCCACGGAGCAGTTTTAGATGTGTGTCTTGAAATAATGCGGCGGCTTGATGACTGAAACTTCGTGATACTATCTGTATATGATAGTTGCTTACACCCTTGAGAGCCCGAGTAGCCAGAGATAGCAAAGAGTGTGTTCATTCTGACTGTAACGATTCGAACTGAACTTGATTCTAACTGATTACGCTCGTTACCACTGCCATTTCTCCGGGTGAAGGTACCAGTCTCTCTCTCTGTTTGGCTTCGCCAGTCCAAACTCGGCGTAACGAGCCTCTGACCATTCAAGTCTACTGATAATTGGCCATCCCCTTCGGAACCCCGAAATGTGACTGTAATCTGTTAGTATATATTTCCAACGCATTTATATGGCATGCCTGACGTACAGATTGCCCGTAGACTGATCAAAGATGATCTTCGAGATTCTGGACTGGCCTGGTACTACACCGCAAGCAAGTAACTGTCTTTTGATTATATCAACATCCCGTCTACCTGCCTAGGATTTGCATAGTCTTACTCATAGGCCGCACGGAACTTAAGACGGATGTCTTTGCGTGCATTGTCATCCAAGGCCCAGAAGAATTCCTTTGTCAGAGGCTCCCCGGGGACATTTTCCCACACAAGGTATCTAATGTAGCCGCCAGGGACGAGGCCGTTATCTCCTTGTGTACTTTCTGCGTGGCCAAAAAAGCGAGGAACAGCGCTACAACGTCCACTCTGCAATAGTTTAAAGGACTCTAGCTCGCCACACACTCCAGGAGGAACAGCCTGTCTAGCCAGTGTGTCATGATCAGCATCCTCTGTCCCAGTGATAGGAATCTGTTGGTAGATTCGCATGAATGCTATCTGATTTGGGTCCTCTGCAAGGTGGCATAGAAACTTGCCAACTGTCTTTGCTGAACCGCGGCCCATCTTGACATCGTGTTTTGTCATAGGAGCTGCCCTCTCCGAGAGTTTCTCCGTGATGACCCACGTTCGGGAGATCCCTGACGACGCAGACATGGCTGTCATAGGCGAAGCCGCCAGAGCAGGGGGTGTGGCGGGGGAGGTAGATTCTGGTGACGCGCCATCCAAGACAAGGTCATATGTGGTGACCGTAGTACCTACAAGGCCACGGAGCCATCGAGCATCGAAGCAGGTCGTTCGGGTAGCAGGTGCCATGATGATAGTTGCGAAGAGGAGGCTTCAGAAAAGCAAGATAGCTTGAAATCATGGGCGTCCAGCTTGGGGGAAGAAAGAGTGACGCATAATGATATGTGATGACATGGATGGACATGTGACCAAATGACGGAAATCTCCATCGCCGTCACTGTCTGCCCGTGTTTGTTTCCTTTTGTTTCTCTCCTCTGTTTCTGTTCGCTTTTTCGAGGGCTCTCAGGCTTTTCCCGGACTTTTCTTCTACTGCCAGACATACAGCTTCTTACTCCCTAGATAGCTTCAAGTTAGCTGTTCAATGCCCTATCATTGTTCTAGCTCTCTCGTTTGTCCCAAAGCATCGTATGTGCTGACATCTTCTATCAACATCACATACTGTCCGTGTGGATAAACTGCTGTTGTTTCTTGAAGTATGGGAGGGAAATGGAACCTGCGGTCAAGGGCTAACCCTTACTGGTTAGTACAACCTCATGCATTCAGCCTGGCAATTAATTGGCTAACAATGTCTCAGAACCAGTCCATATCTGGACCAAAGCCTCTGGCACTAAACCCAACGTGATCTAGTCGAGGCAAAAACGAAAAAGAAAGAGAGGGGAAAAAAAAGAAAAAAAAGGCCTCAAGAAAAAGGATGGACAGTTGGGAACTCCTTGCTGTTGTTTGTTTACCGGATCAATTCCATCGAACAAGGAATTTTTCATCGATTCTGCCTCTTTAGATACGACCGAAAGAAAAGGCCTAGCTAGGGTAGATAGCATTCGTTTTAGTTGATCTGATCCGGAAAATAGATCGCCCCAAGCTTGAGGACTGAGGACGTGCTGTGAGCTCCACCAGCCGAGAGGGCCGCACGTCATCGGGACATCCACCGTAGTGTACCGCTTGGCCCGGAAACTCTTTCGGCCTTAGGCCTCATCCCCCAAACTAGGCTAGAAAGAGAAGTGACTCTACTAGATTCAAATACCTCTCTACAGTAGCCCGCGCTACTACTCACTCCTCTTTTTTTAACTCCCTCATCAACTGCTGATGGCTATACCTTCAGCCAACCGCTACGTGGCCTTCAGGCCCGTTGTCCTCGGTTTAGCGAAGTTGTTTCTTCTGGCTTCCGCCCAAATACCCCTCATCTCCGCCGCTCCTACAGTCGTCTCTCGCAATCACTACCAAGTCTTGGGTGGCCATGAATTAGACCCCAAGCCAGCCAGTGACCCGAAATTATGGCTCTACCTCAGTGTGGCCGCTGCGCTCGTGCTGAGCGGCGGTGCCTTTGCTGGGTTGACCATTGCTTTGATGGGCCAGGTATGTTTTCTCGTTATCGCTCCCGATCGGGCCTGGACGTGTCGGTCGCTTGAGCTAAGCTAACCCTCCACGTCAATCCGATAGGATGAGGTCTATCTGCAAGTCATCAAATCGTCGGGCGATAAATCCGAACGAAGGAATGCCGCTAGTGTGCTTCGACTTCTCAAGAAAGGAAAACATTGGGTTCTGGTCACTTTGCTGCTCAGTAACGTCATCACCAACGAGACTCTCCCCATCGTCCTCGATCGGTCGCTCGGAGGAGGCTGGCCTGCTATTTTGGGCAGTACTGTACTGATCGGTATATATTTCTCCCGCCTTTTGATTGGTAACCCCCCAATAGGCATCGTGTTAATGATGTCCCAGTGATCTTTGGTGAAATCGTTCCTCAATCGATATGCGTCCGATACGGTCTCCCGATCGGGGCCTGGATGGCTCCCTGCGTCCTGGTGCTCATGTACGTTATGTCTCCTGTGGCTTGGCCCGTGGCCAAGCTGCTGGACAGACTACTTGGTGAAGATCATGGAACGATCTACAAGAAGGCTGGCCTGAAGACTTTGGTGACATTGCACAAGACTCTGGGTGAGGCAGGAGAACAGCTCAACTCAGATGAAGTCACCATCATCAGCGCTGTGCTTGACCTGAAAGAGAAGTCTGTCGGAAGCATCATGACGCCCATGGAAGATGTCTTCACCATGTCCGCCGATACCGTCTTGGACGAGGCGACTATGGATCTCATTCTGTCCCAGGGATACTCCCGCATTCCCATCCATGCCCCCGATAACCATATGAACTTCGTGGGTATGCTCTTGGTCAAGATGCTCATCACCTACGATCCCGAGGATTGCAAGCGCGTGCGAGATTTCGCTTTGGCAACGCTTCCCGAGACTCGCCCCGAGACCAGCTGTCTGGACATTGTCAACTTCTTCCAGGAGGGCAAGTCTCATATGGTTCTCGTCTCGGAATACCCTGGTGAGGATCGTGGTGCATTAGGAGTTGTCACCTTGGAGGACGTGATTGAGGAGCTAATTGGCGAGTATGTGTTTTGCGCTGTCCCTTATCTAGCGAATGACACTGACCGGTGAGCAGGGAGATCATCGATGAGTCCGATGTCTTCATTGATGTGCACAAAGCAATTAGACGCATGGCTCCGGCTCCCAAGTCTCGCGTTCCGAAAGGTCGCATTGTCGAGGAGCCGCCCATGCTCTCTCTCGAGTCCGAAACCGACGGCGAATCCCGTATGCCCTCTGTTGATCGGCGTCGCAGCTCCGTGGAAGCTCCTCCGCCTCGCTTTCATATGCGCCTCCAGACATCGGTCGGGAATTCCGACTCGACTGATGGTTTCCTCACTCACAAAGGGCCCATTGACGAGATACGCGAACACCTGAAGCACCTTGGGCCGTCCAATCTGGCCAGCCGCCCTCGCCAAACTCGGTACCAGAACGTGAAGATCAAGCGAGCAAGCAACTCTCCCAGTCGATCGGGACACACTGATATGGATTCCGGGCACAGCACCTCGGGCTCACAGGTCATGAACAATACATCTGCCGGCTTGGCGGGAGGCATAGGAGCCGGACTCCTTCAATCTGGCATCGATCCCCGAGATGGTGTTCACGCTGTCAAGCTAGGCTACGGGACCATGAACAACCGAGCCTCGGATAATGGTGCCGTCGAATTATCCATCCCAGAAGCCGTCCACGAAGAGCAGGATGATAAGCCGCCGTCGAGGACGAGCATCGCCACCAGTACCACATCGTCCGATCTGCGGAACCGGCCCGAGGGTTCCCGACTAGGCAGTAGTTACCTGCGCAAGGGAGCAGCCCGCAGCGGCAGCATCACCGAACAAGTCGTCGACGTCAACGGAATCCGCAAAGTCATCCTCCACACCACGAGCAGCAACTCCTCTTCCGACGACGACGGATCGTCCATCAAGCAGGCCAAGTTCCCCGTTCGTCAGGACGGCCAGCTCATCGACCTTGATCACGAGCAATCCGCCCCCACTGCACAAACGAACGGGCACAAAAAGAAGAAACGCCGCCGGAAGCACAAATCCCACGCGAAGACCTCGGATGGCCGGCCTGGCGAAGAAGCACCCCTATTATCTTAATGAGCTTTTTCGTGGTTGGAAGGCGTCCCTTCCCCCTTCTCCACCTCTCTACCTCTCTATCACTCTGCCGGCCAGAGCGACGCTCGTGCAAGCGAGTCCTTGATGTAAGCACCTGTGTATGAGCATACTGTATGTGACTGCGGAAAGAGCGACCGATAACGGTGTTCGTTTGAATCCTTCATTGGGGAAACTTATCCCATGCATAAATAGCCTGTAAACCAGCCAGTCTAATCGACTTGTGTAATTTTCACTTCATAAAAAAATAATTGTAAAGACGGTAGACCGCCTATATGCACTACGTAATCGAGGAATTCGTCATATGCATTCGACTTTTGATATTTTGATCATCTCATCTCATCCATGTATATGCATGCACCTGAATAACTCCACGTAATCGACTTGACAAAACCAACGGCCATTGAACCATGACAAAAGAAAGACCAGCGCTGCGATCATTGCAGGAGGGGGTCCTAGCAGTCAACGTTAGCTTTCTATCGAGCTGGTCTGGAAAAGATGTACATACCCGGAAGTGTTTCTGGTTGTTCGCAGCCCGATTGACCCGATCTCTGTACCGGAGGTCTTGCCGAATGGCGCGCGTCCGGTCCTTGCGTTCCGACATGGCCGCGGCCCGTTTCTGATCGTCCGTGGCACCGATCATGCCCAGACCGCCATTGGCACGGGTGACAAGGGCGCGAGTGGGGTTGCGGCCCCGGGGCCGCTCTTCCTCGACTTCGCCGTTCTCGATGGCGAGTTGGCGGGCGATCCGCTCCTCCATCGACGGGTAGTTGTGCAGGTTCTGGCGGTAGTATTTGGCGAGAGAGCGGTGGCCGACGCTCTTGCCGGACGGGAGATGCAGTTCGTATTCGGTCTGGTACACGACGGGTGCCTTTCTGTGGGAATCGAAGTCATCGTCGTCTTCGTCTTCGTCCAGGGAGGAGGCGGAGGTTTCCGTCTCCCATCCGTCGTCATCGCCGTCCGAGCCGGACACCTTGACTCCGCCGTCCTCTGGTGTCTCGCTGGTTACTGACCCGGCCTCGTCATCGGAGTATGTGCTTCGGAAGTCGTAGTATTGCCCAATCTCGATCTGTTCCTCCTCGGTCTCGAAAGCGATCATGCAATGGCCCTTGTCCCGCATGTGAGTACGAATGCTGGCGGGGCTGTTTCTGATGGCATGGCAGTAGAGGCACTCGCTGTTCTCGTTGATTTTCCGGTAGAGGTAGTGGATGAGACCCTCAAGGTTGACGAGGTAGTCTCTTTCTGGGATGAACATGCCATGGCTCTTGCGCATGTGCTCTGTGTTTTCTTGAAGGTCCGACGCCTTGTGGCTACAAAACAGACAGCGGGAAGGCGAGTATTCAGATTCGGCCTCGAGCTCCTCCTCATCCTCATCCTCTTCCTCGATCGTTGATGTCTTGAGATTCTCGGTAACCTTGGTGACATCCGAGTCGCCTTCCTGAGACTTGTTGATGGGTTCGCCCAGAGAGAAGGTGGAGCTCATCACGGATGACGAATCATCTGCAAGATCTTTTTGCATCCGCGCCTCGCGGGCCTTGTGCTTGGAGCTCTTCACATGGTTCTGGTACGAGTTCTCACTGTAGAATGTCTTCTGGCA